CCAAGGAGAAATATCATCTTTCATCTTTACCCTTTGTATCATATTATGATGTTGTAATAACCAACTGTCTCAAAATTTTCTCTTTTTAATGTATTTGTCTCTTGTCTTAATTTCTCAGTTGTCCCCTATTCCCTCATGAATTTGGAATCTATTGCAGAAAAAAAAAAAATCAACTGAGTTCAATCAGAACAAAACGTGCTAGAAATTATGCTGATGCAGCAAAAACCCATGTCTGTTACAAGCAAATAAAGGAAAAAGCCCAGTTTCATGGATTTATAGAAAACCAAGAAGAGCAAGAGACCAGAGACATAAATATTTGGAACCTCCTGTCTCCAGATCAGGATGCAACTCAGATGTGTAAGGATTAAGCACCAGGGTAACTGCCACTTGAGGTGCATTAGTATAGCCACTTAAAACTTTGAGTAGTTCCATCAAAGGCAATGTTCCTCTGTTTGAGGTTAGGCAAACAAGTGTTGAGCTGCATCAGCTCTAAGTTGCCATTAGATAAATAACATGCCAATGTCCACGCACCATTCAAGCACCACTCAAGAATTTGCTGGTAGGTTGGTTTTTTTGGTTTTTTGTTGGGTTTTGGGTTTTTTTTTCCAGAAGACTGAAATGGAAACGCAACTCATTGTACTCCTTTTAAGAGCGTTTCCTTCAGTTGCTCAGGTGATGATGAAGAACAGCCAACTCAGTTACACAGGGTCACCAAATAATGGTAAAGATAACCCAGATGAAGCTAGACCAAGAGTGAAAATACAGCAGGTGCTACCATTCACTAACAGGAGAGCTGCCTGTCCTCTCCCTCATGACATCCACCAGGTCCTCTGTGGCCCTGCCAATTGCCCGTTGTTGACTCTCAGCTAGTGCCACACCCAAAGAAAGACCATTTTCCTCCAAGGTATGTAACTGCACCAGAGCCCGCGTGACTGAACAGCTAGCCCTTCCATTTCATTCTTCACAGCCCCCACTCTGATCCCCTGTCTAAACGACCATGCTTTGGTATTTACTTAGCTTGTTCCATTTTGTCAGTCAGTCAGGGAATTTCGGGGTTAGGGGTTCTGTCTGCTTTTTTTGTGGTTTGTTGGGGGTTTTCTTAAATTAAAAAAAAGTAAAGAAGATAGATTTCATTCTTCAGTTATGTATTTCCTAACTACCTGTACCAAGAACAAAGACACAAACCTTCTAAAAATCTTTAAGAGGTTTGGGTTTTTTCTTTTGAAGTTTGAGATTGTCTAGTAGTACTGTTTCCCTTTTTGTGCCAGTTAAAATGGCTCTGGTTTGTAACTGATAAAGGTGCTTTTAATACATGTCCACAACAAGGAGCATTGTGTGCTTTTACAGTCATTCAGTAGATGCCCAGTCCCAGACAGATGGTGCTTTATCCTCACCCTCTCTTCAAGTCAGCATAATGCATTGTCCTGTCAGGGATTAATGGCAGTGCTACTCACATTAGATGCTAATTCTGGTAGCAACTCTTTTACTACACTGCAGATGCTACAGCTACTGTTGGCAACTAATGCTTGAAGCAGGCAATCCACACTGGAGGAGAAGTAGGACGTCCAGAAACCAAAGTGAGGAGCACAATGCAAGAATCTATGCAGAATGCAACCTCATGTTCAAGGGGAAAGAGACATTTGAAAAGGAAGACAAGGATGATGGAAAGAAAAAAACCCGGAGAAACAGTAGAAGAAAAAATGAGGACTGAAGATTAAAGCAGACAAAATCAATCAGGAACCAAATGGGAAGTTAAAACAGAAGTTCCAACACAACACAGAGAAAGTGTCTTTTCTCAGTAATGACAAACACATCCAGTCATCAGAAAATCAGCACTAGAAAGGTACCTCATAATAGGGAAGAGCAGCTGACACACTGGACACAGAGTGATGCCAGTGAGGGTATGTTATTCTACAGTTGGATCTTGCCCCAAAGCATTTTTGCCTTATAAAACTACAAATGAATGTTTAACTGTGCCTTGCATAGGCACACAGTTGAGTACTGATTATTAATGAAAATAAAAGTCTCAAAACTGGCTCCTGGATACCTACTCCAAGAAAAATATACCAGGAGAGGTCTGCATAAACACTATAAAAGACAGGCAATTCAGAAGTTTTCAGCTCTCTCCTGGATCCTCTCTTTTTTGTTTAAATAAGAGATTTCAGATCAAAGACTAATTTGAGATGCTTCCACATATACATAAAGTGGACTGAGAAGCACCTAGACTCAAAAAAGCTTGTGCTACAGCACTTTTGTCACATTTTCCTTCTAGTATTGTGTTCATTTACCATGGTCCGTATGTGGCATAGTGGGGAGAGGAAATCCAAGTATTGGACCTCTCTTTCTGAAAAGTCACCGGGGCATGGGAAATCTTTTGTGTTTGAGAGAAGCTCCTACATATTTACATGGATGACAAATCTAGTTAGATACTCCACGGTCATTAAACACAAAACTTCTAATAACTAGCACTATCACATCACTAATTGGTCAAGGGAACATAGGGCTTTCACTCTGCATTTCAGAGGAGGTTTCTTATGGGAGAAAGGGAAGAGAGGGAAGGAAGAGGCTATTCAGAGATGTTTATCAAACCTGAAAAGCCAGACCCTGGCAGCAGATGGTAGATGGAAAACAGGAAGATTTTGTGAAAAACTAGAACAGTATAAAAATAGTGGAAAGAAGGAAAGCATTATGACAGCAGGAAATACTGAAGTTTAAAGATTCACAAGGAAATACATTTACACTGTCTGTTGCTACATTAATAGATAAAAATGGAGCAATAGAAGAAATGCAAGGGAAATGAAAAAGCAAGAGCAGTCTTATGCACTGACAAGCAGCTTGGGTCCAGGACTTGAAATAGTATATTAGACCAGAATGTTTTCAAATTTCTTCTGAGGGCTGCAAAAATGGGGTATACTTTAAACTTCTCACAAGTCTCCACGACTTTATATTAAGAAGCTGTGTTCATGATAAAAAAGCAGATGAACTATTAAACAAGAAAACTACCTCTGGTTCACAAACTTAATGAGCTGTAAATCACAGGAAGTTGATAGGGTACTCCAGGAAATAAAAACTGTATACTTCTGCCACTTTCATGCTCTTGTCAGGGGATTCACTGCTACTGAACACTAGGAACGGACTAGATAGGCTAGATATATCTTTGGTCTGACATGTTCGACCATTTTTATGGCTTTCTTTATAACTTTCTTTACTAAGAAATGACATGTCAAGGAGATGGAAGAGAATTTATTAATGACAGTATGTTTGACAGCCACTATACTGGACTAAAAAGATCTTGGCTGGAGCCAAGGACAATGTGGGTTGATACCTAACTATTCACTCCACACTCCAAGCGAACATACTTCAGTGACACAATTCCAGAATCAGACCTCCTTACAACTCCATTTGTAACAGTCCTTACTATTCCCCATCTGGACCTTTCTTGAATAATACTTATTGTATTGTCCAGAAATTTTGCTGATTGTGTAACTTCATACAAATTGAATGCCAGAAGAAAATAGATATTTATTTCTTTTGTCGTCCAAAATAACATTCCCCATTCAGAGCTACATGATGAACTTTCTCCTCTCAGTAACAGGCTCCTTTTTTTTTCTTTTTTTTTTTTCTTTTCTCTCTCTCTCCATTCCTTGTGCAACTCTGCCACTGCAATTACCACCTCATTTGTAGTGTGCCTCTGGATTTCAGTACCAGTACAACCATACTTTAAAGTACTCTAGAGGGATATTTATACCACCTAGCTCTAAGCACCTAAGTTGGTCAAGTTATTAACCAGCTAGTCACTGCAAACTCCCTCTTTAGTCCATAGGG